ATTGGTTTGACTTTCATTAGTAGAGAAATAAACTTATTTAACTTCTTTCTCACAAATTTAAGGTTTGGAGTCTTAATCACAAGAAATTAGTGGCACTTAACACACATGAGTCACTTATACAATTTACTCAATTTAGACTTGAACTGAGTATATGGGAAAGTTTACTAATCATTGAATATGCTTGGGCATGCTATCAACTGCATATTTGAGTTATTATATATTGTTGTTACCTTCATCATTAGTGAGAAAAGGAGGAGAGATGATGAGATTTTTTAAATTTTAGTTCAAATTTTAGATGTTTTTAAATTTTAGTTTATTTTATAGTAAGGGGGAGATTTTTTTGGGAGATTTCTTTAAGGTTTAGCTTTTTGAGTTTTGATGTTTCGTGATATTAATGTTTAAGTTGGTGTTTTGAGTATGGAACTAGAAGAAAGAGTCGACAGATTTACGCTAGCCTGTCACTTAGCCGATGCTCAAGCGTCCAAGTAAAATCATTGTCGTCCGACTCTCGCTCGAGCGACGCACCTCTCGCTCGCCTATCGCTAGTCTGGCACTCGAACGACGGTGTTGTCCAAGTAATCCTAATTTTCATTTTTCAAAGGTTTTATCCATCATATACTACCTAAACTCCTCTTACTATAAATATCTAATGCCCAATACATTTTTTAATTGGGTTGATCATTGATTTACATCTTCATAACATCATTCCAAGATCCAAGAACACATTCAACAATCTAGATTAACCTTTTGATTCTCGAGATCAATCAACCACAAGTTTAGAAAAAAAAATCGAAATTCATATAATTAAAAACACCAACTTCCTAGATATCATTAGAAAGGTACTTTCTCAATAGATTTCAGAACTTGCTGAAGATTGAGGGAGGTTTGACCAGAAGCACAGGAGATGGACAATTCCTGAATATCGAGAGCAGGTGTGAGTGAAGCACGTTCAAGTGGGTCTTGGAGATTGCATGAATTAGATCAGCGAGTCTAGTGGGTTTTCTAGATTGCATCCTACTCTAAGTTCTTATTTTCTATAATGGAAACTACTGGTTTGATCCTTAAGTTTTTACCCAGTTAATGGTTTTCATCATCATCATCAAATCTTGTGTTATTTATTGTGGCAATTTAACATATTGACTTAATTGAATAAACATCTAGAATAATTAAAAAGTGACTTGTTGTTTTTAATTGATAAATTTAATTCCTCGTTATTCACATATTAGGTGATTTTAGAGTTGAACTAGCAACTTTCAGGCCCTATTCCCAAATGGTCATGTCTTATTGGATATTGTCGCTAACTTATCTTTGGTCAGTCGTAAGTCGTGCTTCTTTACGTCTAATGAGGAAAATGAAGTAGATCATAAACTAGCTTTATTTACTATTATTTCGTGTGTTGATATGCACTGCCAGTTTGATTGTGTACCTATTTCTATTTCTCTTACAATTCACGGGATCTTCATCTAAGAGAATTTCCTTTAAAAAGAAAAACGAGTAATATATTTGTATCCACATTTCATGCTTGCAATTGAAACCCTTTAAACTACAAGTATATTTGCTATTGGACCTATACCAATATTGAAAATACTCATTTTTTTTATTTTTTATATTCGTTACCATTTCAAAAACATTTAACCATCCCATTCTATAGTCGTAATTTTATTAGAATTTTTTCTTACGAATAACGAAGTGCAATTGGCTAATGAGCCCACAGATGATAGATTCAGGAATCCAGGTGAGCACGGAGGCCGCCCAATATAAGGAAAAATAAAATTTTCTAGCATAGCCAACACGAGCAACCGCAAGGCTTGTTGGGCGCTAGCTCTGCCTTGAGTCTACCTAACCACCTCTTTACTTCACCCATATTTGTGCATTACTTTTTTGCAAGTGATATCTATGAATAATTTTAGCATCCTAGATGAGCATTGAAATTTCATTTTCCTTATAAAGTCATATATTCAAATCTATTATAACTTCAGTTGTCATTACTGAAAAAATCCATCGATGGTT